GAAAAAGGATATATATAAATAACATTATGCTACCTTTTAATCGGATTAGAACGTTTAAAAATGTTAGTTTTTAAAATAAATAATTTAATATTATAAGGGGGCCTCGGAACTCGGGGTAGTAGTTCGAGTCAACCCAAAACCCAAAAGTAAAGCCAGTTAGACCTCTTAAGATAGTTGGACCAGTTTAAAAAGGGTATTGAGCTTATGTTGGCTCAATAGTTAAAGGATAGTGGTGTTTTTAAAAGTGAGTTAAAGGGAGAATGACTAACAGTGTAGTTTACCCGTAGCTTGTTTTAAAGGTTAAAAACCCCTTATTTTTCACGTGAGTCATTCCCCAAAAATATCTTCCCATTTTCTTTTTCTCCATATTCTACTTCTTTATTTTTTCTCCTTAGCCAAGATCAATCTTTAAGGAATTTCAAGCTTAGTTTGAATCCACCAAGGTAAGAGTCTTATTCTCCTTCTCTCAAGCTTCATTTCAAGCTCTTAATCTTAGGTTTTGGTTAAGTTTTTAGAAAATGAGTTTATGGGGAGGTTTATAGAATTCAAGAATCTAAGATAGTTGAGAGGATTTGAGTTGTTTAGAATGTTTTTATTATAGTTTCCAAGTCAAAAGCAAGTTAGTAACTCTTAGATTTGTCTATGATTAAATAAAGAAGGGGAAGAGAGTATCAAAGTTAGAAACAAAGGAATGGTCATTCCTAGTAGAATTGGGAGAGGTTTTAGCAACCAAGGAGGTCAGGTAACACACTGTTAGCTTTTCCATATCAGTTGTAGGATCATTAGAAAGAAGTTTAGCTTGAAAGTTGAGTATGAGCATGTTTATTAGCCTTCCATGGTAGATTTTATGTTTAATGTTTTCAACATGTTTCTAAGCCTTAGTTATTCTCCCTTAATATCACATAAGACTTTAAGTATATTTGGGGACCTGACTACCGTCTTTGGGATTGAAAAATAGAGATTCTCGTGCTTGTTTTATGACTTCTGTAGGTAGAGTATCGATACTATAGGGTTAGTATCAATACTTGTTCTTCGTTTACGGGTAAAATTGTGTTTTTTAGGCATGAGTATCGAAACTCTTCTAAGAGGCCTAAGGTCTGACACTCACAAGGGGTGGGTTAGTCAGGGGTATGGTGTCCGATGTAGAAATTCTATGGGCCATATCCCAATAGATTAGAGGGGCACATGAGCTCCGAGATGCAGTAATCTCTCAGTCGCACCATTATGTCTACAGTAGCGTAGAGAGTGAATATCGCAAGGATATTCACTAAGCAGATCCGATCAGTAGACTTGATAGTTAGCCTTTCAGTGATATGCAATTAGTATATTTTAGCTATTAGTGTGTCGCTGAGCTAGTTAGCTCAGCCTTCGGATTGTTTCCGTGGGAAGGTCACTAGATCCAGCAGGTAAGGAGCCGCAGATAGACTAAAACCCAGTTCAGACCAGTGCAGATTTAGAGTACGTCTCAACATTTGTAAACTTTATTGTCCAGTTGAGTTGTAGTTTCAGTAGAGCGGTCTGTATTATTTTTGTAAAGAGTAAATATTTTAATTTGTAGCTCCTCAGTGTAAAGATTTTATTTATTCTTCAGTTATTTTACAGTTTTTTTATATTTAAAGAAAGTACGAAAAAGTTGGCCAACCATTTCGGTGGTTCCGTATATCACCTTAAATTGATCGACTGTATGTCGTACTGGTCTAGGGTGTTACAAAGGGATTCCATTAAAAATATTTGTATGCAATAGTCTTACAATTTTCATGTATGGATCCTTTATTTATCTATTACATATACACACAATTTTTACTTAAAGCTTTAAAAGTATGCTCAAAAGAATTTGGTGGAAACGATACAGATTTCAGTGAGCTTAATTATGTCAGAGTTCTTAGCAGCCAAGCCTGTTAAGTCGAGTCCACTTATTAGAACTTGGCACCTTTTAGTGTCACGTGCAGCACCATATAGATACTTAACCATGGCCTTGATGTTTTTGCTGTAAAACGAATCGTTAGCACTCCAAAGGTCCACTATGGCCTTCATGTTAAGATCCCAACATTTTTGGAGCCGCAACTGGTAGCGATAAGTATGGACTGCCGAAGCAGAATCTTTGAGTAAACTGGATATTATAGTTCCAGCTTCCAATGCTCTTATCTGTGCCCACCCTAGGGCGGTACTAGCAATCCCTACGGCCGTCAACGGCGCCCCCAAAACCATGTTACCGACACAATATTCATGGCTCGATGTGTGTCGGCAAACCGCTTCCACGGGATTCGTCGTTCAAATGATTAGCAGCTCCAAACAAGGGATGGATGATGACCGCCAATATCAGTAGGAACAATGGGGAGAAAACATGAGTGTGAAGGGCCATTTCTTGTTGCTGAGGAGATTTTAAGCCAAAGGTGGAAACATGATTTGGGGACATGAAATAATTTACGTGTAAATGTGTTTCCACTCGATTTATATGATTAGTAGTGCCAAGTTCTTCAAAAACAACTTCCAATTTGATTTCATGATACTTGGGGGACAAGGCTGAAATGGTAGGAATTCTTTCTCGTTAATTGATTGTAAACAAAACTGAACCAAAATCAATATTTGGTCTTTGTAGCATGAACACTAAGCCCATACCCAATGATCATGACAACCACACCAAGCCCATCAAACATATAGTTTAAGGAGATTGAATTTGAACAATTACATCTGTAGAGTATGTATACGTTGCCAATAGCTAAAAAAATTTAAAATATATATTATTTTGTAATACTCCTAAATCATTAAGAAAGAAATAATAAAACGATTCATCGAATAATTTTATGAAAATATAATAATGACTTATTAGGAGTAGGATCCATTATATAATGAAAAAATGAAAAACTTTGACATTGATATGAGGTATGATTTACTTGGACAATGTAAGAAACTCGTTTTTACAATAATTTAGGATTATTGGATGAACTTAAATTAATGATTGAGATTATTCTTTGAATTAGTATTATTAGATGAATGTAAATTGATGGCTAGGATTAAAAAATGAAAATGTGAAAAATTCTTTGAAAAAAATGATAAACTACATTGATGACCACTTAATTATGAGCTAATGAAGGAGGTGCTTAGTTGATGTTATTAGTGTGAGAATTGTTGTTAGGTTTGATCAGTGAAATAGTTTGAAATTCAAATAGATTTTCTTTAGATATTCAAAATGAATTGAACAAAATTAATGATTCCCACATCGAATGTTTACTCAGGATTATTACAGATCAAGACCATGACAACCTTAACCACTCAAACTCTACATACACTATTTCCCAGGACTAAGGTCGGGCAGTTTTTCAGTCCCTCCCTGCTTTCCAAAAACTTTACTCCCAAAAACCAAGAAGCCGGCGGCATGTCCGAGAACCGCAGCGAGGAAGACGCCGCCGTTAAACGACATGACAACCAACATAACGACGTAGCTCAGCCCGGCACGAACGGTATGCTTGGCCGTCTTAAAGAACCAAGCGGCCACCTTGTTGGCCCCAGGCTTAACGATGGTGCGATACGAGAGGCATTCAACCATCACCGCCAGGCCAAATACGAAGAACAAAGCCAGTGCGTACATGCCGCTGCTGGAACCGGGCCAACCCGAGGAGAGGATTTGGGATTCGTGGCCCCAGTAGAAGCTCGTGTGCGTGGCTGAATGTCGATGAGTGTGGAGCGCGGTCGTGACACATGCTCCCCATGTTCATTTTGTTTCTTCTTCCTCTCTTTTGTCTGGGTTTTTTTCTTCGAAGAACATAAAGAGGGTTTCAAATGGGAGGAAATATAGAATCCTTCTTCTTTTTTTTTTTAATATTTTCACTTTAGAATCCTGCAAAACTGGTTTCCAAGCAACCCCCCTGTAGCATTTTCAATATTCGCTTCTTTATACTGTTTTCTTGTGTACGTAAAGAAATCATCTCTTTTAATAAATCCATCGGGTGCTTGCTAATAAATCCGGATTTTGATCTTCATTCTTCATCATAATTTCTTGATGTCGTACAGTATTAAAATGTAAGAAATGAAGAATAATAAGCTAAATATCTAAAGACTTTTATACTAAAATTACGAATAGAGTACACTGGATTCAGAAGGTTGCAATTGCCTCTGTAATATTCAATCAATAGATGAGATATTCGTGGTTATACCAAAAAAGAAAGACAAATTTTTATACTAAAATTTTGAGTATTTCATAAGACAACGAGTCTAATCAAGTTTTAAAATTTGTCTTTGACTATCGTATTATATAGTTAAATTTTGAGATGTTAAGCTATCTAAAATTATATTTGACCTAGTATTGATTCAAGTTTGGTCAAATTTTAGGATTTGTTTTTGTCAACTTGAAATCAACAAGTTTTTTTTCACGATGATCTCAAATCTCATATTATTTATATTTACGAATTTTTAATGTATTTAAATATATTCTTTTAAACATGTACTCATTGAATAATTAAAGATAAGGTCTATACACATGTTGACACCGTCTAGTTGGCTCGAGCTCGTGCAAATAATTTTTTGCACATTAGTCTTCATTTCTTTCATTTTCATCCTAGATGACATCGGTATGCGAGAAAACGTCCGAAAAAATTATTATATAGATAAAGACGTGTCTTACAAAACACATTTTTATCAAAAGAGTACCACTCATAATAAAAGAAATATTGTTTAATGGTATTATGGTTAAAAAAGGTTTTGGGTATGTTTCTTATAAACTAGCCCTTATTATATGATTTGCTTTTAAAAAATTAAATTTGAGGTTGGTAATAATATTAACGAGCGTTAATTTAGTATAGACAAAGTTTCATAAATTTGAAATCATATTTTATTTAGTATAGACAATGCTCATACACGACCACAACATCTCAAACCGTTTGATACATTAATCTAATATAAAAAGTACAGCAAAAGCATTCATATGAGAGTTCTTTATTTATTTATATAAGATCATCATGATTTTCCCTCACGAAATTGTTAGTCAAAAGGGAACCCTCCCATCACTCTCCGCCATAGATCTCAATGCTTCTTTTAGGGTAGTGTTTGGCCTCTTTCTTAGGAACTGTGATGGTCAGCACCCCGTTCTCCAGACACGCCGTCAGCTTATCCACCGTCGCGTTCTCCGGCAACTTGAAACTCCTCACGAACGACCCGCTTCTACGTTCCAGCGCTGCCACATGTCGCCGCTCACTTCTTTCTTCACGCTCTTCTCGCCGCGGATGCTGAGCACTCGCCCCTCCTCCACTTCCACCTTCACTTCGTTCCTCTTCAGCCCCGGAAGTTCAGCTACGAACAAGTGAGCTTCCGGGGTTTCCTTCCAGTCCAGCTTTGTGAGCTCGAACCGTGATTCGGCAGCGGAGCAGCCGTTGTAACGAGGTTGCTGCCGCCGTACCGGAAGTCTTGGAACGGATCCCAAACTGCCGGACGATGGTAGTAAGGCTCGTCATCACTGTGATGAATTCTCAGAATTATCGACACGGTCGTAAAAGTGACTAGTCAAAGGCAACAAGTAGGTTACGAATGCGAGGCTAAATAGTGAAGGTTTTTATAAGGGAAAATGGGGATGGCATGAATGTGGGAAAATCTATGTGAAATAGTGGAATGATTGATGTTTTGTTATGTGTTTTTGTGCATGCATGTATGCATGCATGGTATTTAAAGAGAAGGCTCTTCTTTCAGGCTAAGATGAAATTTATTTTATCGATATAACGAAAGGGATTTGAAAGAATATGACATCCGCATAAATGTTGAAATCTTTGAATGGGGTAGTAATTTTCACATTAAAATATATTCCTAATGTTGGTAATATAAAGTGGTAGATCCTATATTAATTCAATATTGATTTTAATAAATATTTTTTTATTAAATGATTAATGGTGATCTACACTGTTGTCGTCCGCTTGATTTGGTTTGTGTTTATATCCCGGAACAAAGATATGCTTCGTCCAGGACATGAGCGGATGTATATGACTCCCTAGAAGAGCCATTACACATTTATTATTTCAAAAAGAGTATTGAATTTAGATAAAAGAATCTATATACCCAAAATGTTTTTAAATAGAGTATTAAAATGTTGGACGCCCAATTTTTAATTTCTAGATCCATCACTGCTCTAAACTATTCTCTCATATATTTTTCTGTTATTAAAAATATATGAGTAAATATTAAATTAGGATTCCAAATTTTAGATAATTATATTTGATCCTCTTATTTTCTATGATTAATTATATTTTATCTCTTTGAGTTGGAATCTAGGCTTCGTCCCTGTGTATATATTTAATATGTAATATGCATAGTTCTTTTTTATTAAATATATGAAATCTATCTAATTATATAATAATCAAATGAAGTAATTGTTTTTGTGGTTTGGTGCTTCCAAGTTCTTTATTTGACCTAGGTTTAAATCCCCTCGTGATTATTTTTTGTTCTTATTTTCTGAAATTAACTATAGTATAATACATATATTATGGTGTAATACATAATACAAAGGTTGAGGTTGGCTCTGTAGCTAGCTGGGATGCGCACATTCCTTCTATTGGATAGAGATTTAGTCCTCCCAAACCCCTTCTATATTATCTAGCCCTTTGTTAGAAGATTATATTTATTGAATTAAATTTAAATTAGAACTAAATTAAAAGAATGTATAACTATTAAGAATCAAATATGTAATTATATCAATTTTATTAATTATTTTTCATCCAATTAGATAGTGACATATGTAAGCATTTGAGTGGAAAAAATAATAATTAAATTAAATGAATTTAAACTACAAAAACCCCCTTCAATCTAACGGTGGCACATGTCACCATCTGATTAGAGGATTAAATTTATTGAATTAAATTAAAATTAGAACTAAATTGATATAATGTATAAGTATTAAGGATCAAATGTGTAAGTGTACCAATTTTGTTAACTATTTTTCTTCCGACCAGATGTGACATATGTCAACATCTAAGTGGAAAAATAATTAAATTAAAATTATAAAAAAACCCTTCAATCTAACGGTAGCACATGTCACTATTTGATTAGGTGACTAAATTTATTAAATTAAAATTAAAACTAAATAAATAGAATGTATAAGTATTAAGAATCACATGTGTAATTATATCAAATTTATTAACTATAATGTCACCACTTTCGTTAACTCCGTTAAATATTTAAGGCATGTAACTTGATTGATATCATTTAAATAGTTATCTGATTAACAAAATTAAAAGAGGCAATAGTTAAATTATCATAGGTATAATTTATTTTTATTTTTTTTTAAAAATCTGCAAGCTATTTTTAATAAAGCAATTACACCCTACGATCTACTTCAGTCTCCTTTCCAATAAACAAAAATAAATTTGCAATTCAATAGCGGAGTTCACATCCAAACTAATTTGCATTATTCAATATGAAAAATGTTAATCTCAAAGGTAAGTGTAGAATGAGCACAAGTGCAACAACGCAATACAGTGTTTTTGAAGACTAGACTATTCCACATACATTCATTGTGAGCTTTTATACCACACCTAAAACTCCAACACCATTTGACCAAATAAATTAAGCCTTCAGCTTAAACATCCACAACCACTTAACGATTCAAAGCTTTCATTTGATCATTCCTTTTTGGCAATTCATTCGGAGCTTAAACTAATCAGCTTTCACTCTTTCACGCCTGAATATCCAATAGAGTAGTGACAGAAGCCATTGCCACAACCTGATTAGCCAATTACTTCTCTTGGGTTTAGGTTCTGGTCTTGGTCCGAAAATCCCTTTATAAATCTCCTTTTGCCTCTCGTATACAGCCTTGTCATGTTCAGCAAGCCTACGCAGCTCTCTTGCAATAGCTTTGTCTTCAGGTGCATGCTTACAAGCATTTAGAAAGTCTTCCCTTGCAGCATCCGTTTGCCCGAGTTCTGCTCTGGCCTTCCCGCGTCTGAACATTGCTTTCACATTATTTTCATCTTCTGATAATACCTGAGAGCCAACGAGGATGTTAAAATACCAAAGAAAATTACCTCCACAAACACAGTCATGCTATCTCTAAGAATATCGAGTACCATAAAGTGGCCAAATGTATAAAAATCAGCAAATTTAAGGACAAAAAAAATCAACGGGTGGAATTATAATCTAACTATCTAGTGGCTGCGAGCTGCTTCATAACAAGTTCAGGATTGAAACATAAAAAGACCTCAAGCCACCGTTTAGTTCATGGATGTGTGAAAAAGAAATGACAAACTAACAGTAATCTTATTCGCACTGATTCTTTCCAGCAATTAAACCGCTATGCAAGTTAATCACTTTCCTCTTCAGAAGCAATGAAAATAAAATATCAAACAGAGAGAATTATAGACTAATTGTTTTTTCAAGTTTTCCAATTATACAGACTTTACATGGTTGTAATGCCAAATTACAGATCAACGAACATTGAGAAGCCAGTTAAATAGAAAAGTAATGTCATCACATTAGCTTGAATGTTTACTTACAATGGAACAGTGTCCAATGGCTTCTTCATAGCGCTTTAGCTTTATCAAACATGCCGCCATGTTGAGATGACATGGATTTTTGACAGCTAAAGCCATGTCTCGATACTTCCCAAATAATTGGAACATAAAGTCATCACCCATGTATGCTATGGCCTATCATGAAAAAAAAAGAGAATAATCATTAGAACTCACCAGAATAAATAAGGAGAACTAAAAGGAAGAAAAATAGGTATATGATATCAAATTCTAATTTAAAGGAAATCCAATCTATAACCATTTCATACTGTTGCATGGCCTCCTCTAGCTTATCCTCCTTGAATAACGAATTACCGTCCATCTTTCTTCTATCTGCAGCACCAATCCTTTCTTCTACAGTCATGTCACCACGAGCTTTTCCCTAAAGAAGTGCCTCACCAAAAGAGGCATTCGATTAGCATGAGGAAAAATCCAGACAGAAAATCTTTTGAAGATAAATGAAGATCTACATATAAAATACATGAAACTAGAACAAAGCAACTTACTTCTTTGGTTTCATCAAACCCAATAAGCTCAACCTCATATATTATGTCTGCCATAGGAGGAACATTTGGGAAAGAAAAGTTTCCTTCTTTCCCATAACCTAATTCCCAGCCCACGCGTAACAATGCACGTTCACCTGATTTCATGCTTGACACACCCATAGCTAAACCAGTCATTTCCTTTTTCTCTGTCACCACAGTAATGAGAACTATTAATATTTCATAATATGCCAAATACACCAGAAAACAATAAAGCAACTCCTAAACACGATTATTGATATCAATAGATTTAGTGTCAATATGTATTTTTTACTAATACACAAAAACAAGAGAAAACAGTCAAATGCATACCTTTGCCTAAGACTAATTCAAGTGGTTGTTGTTCATGCCATGTGTCATCAAATTTATGATTGGTGCTTTTAGCCCAGGCCTTGTAGTGCACTGTTCCATATTTTCAGTTACTCAGACGTTTGGAATACATAACAAAATATGAATTAGTACAGCTCCTTAATCTCCTACAAAACTACTAAGTAACAACATTGGAAAGAAAAGAGCAGTAGAAGTTCGAAATTGATCACTAGACTAAATATCTATAGTTACCAAACTAGCATTTTGCTCAACTAATGTGCTAAAATACATAATTTAAGGAACAATGATTACTCATTAGTATAGCTTCATCAAGATGTTAACTAAAAGAACCAGATACAAGATTCAAGCTTCTAGTTGCAGGCGGTGAATGTGTAACCACACCAGTGTACAGAAATTTAGACCAGATAACTTATGTTGGTTTTCAAATAGCACTCGCAAATGGCTTGTGATACAAGTGTTTCAAGTTTTCATACGGTCAGATAAAAGAAAGGCAAAATAGATGGGAAACAAACATTTCACAAGTTTCTACTACTTACAGAAGCATGTAGAATACTTTGAAGGCTTGTGGCCATGGCCCTCCTTAATGATTTGCTTTCTTACTTTTTCATGAATAATTTCCATCTCGGAATCAACTTTTGGAGGTCCAGCAGCATCTTGAAGTGGTTCCCCATGCACAAATGCAGTGCTTTCAGAGACTATTTCATTCTCATCATCTTCAGCTGCGACGAGCATGCCAAGATACTTAGGAAGTGTGAATCAAAAAGTAACATGAAGAATATCATCAATGTAGCATTGATACAAGGAATTTAATGCAGTGAAATGATTCCAATGGAAAGCTAAAAGGGCAGTTTTTTTTTTTCAGAAACAACACCATGTGCAAAACGTGCTTCATAAATATCAGATAATTCAACATCCAAAAGGAAATACTGAGCTCGAAAAGTTACCATGGAATTGATTTTGGTGCTCCTTGACATCCTCCATTACTTATAATCACTACCCAAAGAAAACTAATCAGGATTCTGCGTACCCATATAACAACCAAAATCAATCAGCTTCAAAATTGATAAAACTGGTAGAACACTTCAACAATAAACTAAAGGAAGATAGGAGAACAGTGAATCATAATCAAACTTAAAATAATACTAATAAATGGATTCATGCAATTAGTGACACAAATTCTGACACCATCAAAACTAATGATAAAGATAATAAACCATTTGGCAAAGGGCTAAAATCATAGACAAACATCCAACATCCAAATAATTCCACACTCAAGCAACTAAATTCCGGATTATTTCACAATGAAAAAGCAAGATCGAAAACACTTAATCAAATGGTAAAATAAAAAAAAATCCATAGATTATGCGAAAACCTGATTGGCAGGAAAAAGATTAGGCCTCCCGCAAGTCAAACACCGCTTTGAGGAATGAGCAAAAACCTAAGCTTGCGATAAAAGTGTATGTAATAAAAAGAGCTAATTGTAAAAAGGCCTCCAAACAATAACACTCATTCTATTTCAGTTCTTAACTTTTAAAAAGTTATATTTTAATCCTAAAACTAATGTTGTCATTCCAATTGAATCTTACTGTATTCCTACGATACAGGTCTTGTTAAGTGCTACTGATGAGAAGTATCTCAATTAGATAATGAAATATATCATTATCTAATTAAAAGATTTTTTCTATTAAAATAAAAAGTTTATTGAACTTTTCATCTCCTGGCATAGATTAATGGAGACTGTCGATGACGATTGCTCTTCAAAAATTTTAAAATTTTATGTAATTTAAATATTTTTTATTGATAATCTTATTTCACTTATTAAAATTTTATAAATTTTATCTCTTAATATAAAATCTTATCTCAACCCGTGCTTCAAGGTTGTTTCACTTGTTAAATATATTTGTTTTGTGAATTGAGAATCGATATGTTTGATTTCATAATTACCAATTAATTTTGATTTTATATTATTTAATTTTACTTTTATAAATAGTCTAAAAATATAATAACTTTAAATTCTAAATAATAATTTCATAATTTTTTTAAAAAAGGTGTAATTATTTTATTGGGTTAACTACTTCAAATACCACTCATCTTTAAGTTCGGGTTCGAAAATGTCAATGACGTTTATGTTTCACCACAATTATGCCACCCCGCGCGCCGTGACGCTGCTGACATGACTCCCTCACCAAACTGACATCGTTTTGTTAGAATCATTTAATGAAAAATTACTTTCAATGGGATTCAAACATGTATCTTTCAAGAATAAATATTAAATACCCAACCACAAAGCTAACTTAATAATATGATATATTCTTAACAAAACTAAAATATATGGTAAATTGCAGTTGTATACTTCTTCTCCACTCTTCTTCTCCAACATTTTCAACAATTGCATCCGTCTGGATCTAGGAATACGCTCTTAAAGGTGTATCCTTCTGGATGCACGCTTGTCCTCAGCATTGCAGTTGGACTTGGAGGTTTCTTTTGCGTTTCCGTAGTCTGGTTGCTCATTTGCCTGAGTTGGTTCAACCTTCCTTATCCTCTGTTGCGTGTATTTGGAAAGCTGTGAGGGAGCAGTGGTCTAAGGTGCCATAGGATAGGATCATTTGGTTTTCAAGGCATGTTCCTAAGATTTCGATGGTAGCTTGGATGGTTGTCCTTGACAGGTTGCCTACTAGGAGCAGATTGATCTCTTTTGGCTTGAATGTGGAATCTTTGTGTTTGTTGTGCAACAGGGGGGAGGAAACAAGGGGTCATCTCTTTTTCCAGTGTGAGTTTTCAAGTCGCTTGTGGTTTGTTTCTTTGAGTGCTTGTGGCTTTCGTAGGTCTGTCTTGATTTGGGGTCTGGAATTGGATTGGATGTGTTGCATGACGAGAGGATGTTCCTTGCCTGCTTTGGTTTTGAGGCTTGCTTGGAATGATTGCATTTATATGCTCTGGAGGGAAAGAAATGAGAGGGTTTTTGGTCGGGCTAAGTCCTCTGTGGAAGAGGTTTTTAAGCGTTTTCAGGAGATTGTTAGGCTAAAACTCAGTGGTAGAGTCAAGCAACGGCAGTTGCTTAGGCATAGTGCTCTTTGTGAAAGCTGGGATTTACTTGTATAGTGGGGTGGTGTGCCGGCTGGTTTTGTATAGATTTGTTCGTTCTTTGGTTGGAATATACAGATGCAATTCATCTAAAACAAACAATCGCATCCGTTAATCTCTACGAATCCAATAAAACGACCAATTCCACTGCAAATGAAAGCAGACCACTTTAAGATAAAATGAAAATTTGCATCAATCATGGTTCTATAAAGTCATATCCATTCTTTTTTTCACTATTTTTGACTAAATTCATTGTTTTCAAAGGTCCCAAGCCGTTTGTGCACTTGGATTGCTTTGATTGCTATTAAACTCCTAACTTTCTCTGTTGCATGATCGACTTTGTAGTCTTCATTTCATCCTTTCCCATTTATGGATCTAGTGGGTAGCAGTAAGGTAAACATGCATCAAAGGGAAAAGAAAATAAAAAGGATATGAAGAGTTGATGTCACCTACACCTTTGGTTCGTCATTGAAGTCTCAGTATAACCAAGTATCTTTGGTCAGCTATTGAAGGGATACCTAAGCTTCTTAACAGGTTGCATAACATTCGATAAAACCGGACGATCACGCATCATCTTGGCATCATCTTCTCTCCCATTACCAAGAGGAAAGCAGCATAATCATGGATGCCTACCCCAAAGTATTTCCCACTTCGGATTGCCAGGTGCTTTCAAGTAAAATAACAAAAGTCCTTGTTTTTAGATCACTCTTTATACGCAATTGTTCAAGTCCATGACTCTTAACTTTGTGGTCGTGGGATCGAGTCCTACGGTGGGCAATTCATAATTCGAAGGTCTTCCACGGAAGCTGCTCTAAACCTGGCGTTGAGAGCAGCCTACTATCCTACCTCCCCTTGCCCTATTACATATGAGAATAAGGGTCATCTAATTTTTTTTTATTCAAGTCCATGACTCATCCCATCTTCCAATTATTTGCGTTAAATGATTTGATTGATGTAAGAGAAATGTTATTTTCGTTACTTAAAATTGAATATTTTCGGTAGAAAAAATAAAAGGGTAAACTACGCCAATGGTCACTGATGTTTGGGTAAGTTTTCGTTTTCACCACTAATGTTTCAAAAGTTACAAATCAATCACTAACGTTATCGTTTATGACAAATTGATCACGAAAAACACAAGTGAACCGTTAGCTGCTTACCTGGACGATTTGACCGCCACATGTACCGAGCCTGTCCCAGCATTGCCACCAATAAGAACGTCATTATCCCAAAGCTCGCCCCCACTCCGATCACCCTCGCCACCCATAAAAAGCAGTTCTGCAACGTTCGCCACCCATCAAAGAAGTTGGTAAAGCACCGGTCATAGTTGGCAAAACTAGTTTGTTCTTCAAATTCTTCCACTACCTACTTCGTATCTACCTCCACGATGAGTTTGATGATACCCAAATGTTTTGCTAACTGGATCATTTACTTAATCCCCCAAAGTTCAATATTTTCGCTGGTTGATTCTTCCAATTTTATCATAAATCCTCCAATCCATTCTCCGTTCGCATCCTAATTAACTCACCTGTTGTAGATTTCCCTAAATCAGTTCTGCAAGTCTCGTCGGTGTTGAGAATCCAGGTACCCAAAGGCGGTTTTCTCCAATTAATCCAGAGAGGCTCTATTATGTTATTCCTAGCTTTAGATTCTTTGGCTAGTTTGATATCTTTTGCAAAAGAGAGGTTGTACTTCATCACCATATTAATATTCTCTTCCTTATTTCTGAAGATTAAGGTATTTATGTTCTTCCATACCAAATGGTGGTCATAAAGATCGTTCCCTAGTTTATTCCTTCGACAGAGATTTTCTTTGACTTACTGTTTTCTTTCATCCATTCAAGGAATGTAGCTTCATTATACTGATGATTGTAAATTCTAGTTTGATTCTTCTCTCATACTGTCACTGTTGTAGGACAAAATCTCAGCACATGTTCGATTGTTTCCAAGGTATTTTGACATTTTATACAGTTTGCATCTTATATCAAATTTTTCTTGGCTCTGATTTCATTAGTGTTAATCTTGTTTAAAAGGCACAACCACATAAAACATCTAATACACTAAGTTATTTCCATCTTCCAGATCCAATTGACATGCTTTGCTGGTTTTCTGTGTTTGAGAAATCCATAATGGTCTTATAAGTCGTGCCAATTGAGAATCGTCCATCTTTCAAATTTGCCCATAAAGGTTTGTATGTTTCATGGTTTCCTTCTGTGGTTCTTATCTGAATACTCTTAATCTGGTTTATAGTTGATTCACTTAAGACATTTTGTAGTTCTTGTAGGTTCCATGAATTGTTGTCTGATAAGTAGTGCGCCACTTTAACATTACTGTTTTGTAGAACTAGATTTGGATGATCTTTAATGATGGGTTTGTGTCCCACCCACCAATTTTTCCAAAATCTTATATCAACATTCCTGTAGGTTCCATGAATTGTATGTTGATTTAGCACCCTCCAGCTATATTTAGTGAGCATCGCTAAGCTTATATCACCGGTGAACTCGGTGTAGCAGAAGGCGGAGAGGAGGGCGCAGAGTTCGAAAATGGCGTAAGAGATAACAACAACAGGGCCAGCGTAGAGGCGAGTAACTCTGCTGGTGGTGATGAACACACTGGCATCGACCATGCCTCCGATTCCTAGGCCAACTAAATCGAACCAACGAAGGGTTTTTCGCATGTTGGAGTTGGAACAGGCCTTTATCTGGATGAGTTCTTCGTAGGAGAAAGAAATAGAGGGTGTACGACGAGCAAAGCGATGAGGGGTATGGGTCAAGGCATGGAGGTATGATTGTACATTAGAGAAAGAGGAAGATTGGGTTTCCATTAGAACCGACGAAGAAGAAGAAGAAGAAGAAGAAGAACAAGATTTGAGTAAAATTGTGGTAACGGAGGGCTTTAGTTTCATTCATGAAATTTGCCTAATTGTTTAATTATTTTTTTAAATTTTTGGTAAAACACCGGTCATAGGGAGATGTAAGGTTCTCCACTGTGGCGGTCAAACCATCCAGGTTAGCAGCTAACGGTCCACATGTTGTTTATATGACGCCTCTTAACGGCGAGTGACCAATTTGTCACAAACGATAACGTTAGTGACCGATTTGTAACTTTTGAAACATTAGTGGTGAAAACGAAAACTTACTTAAACATCAATGACCATTGACGTAGTTTACCCAAAATAAAATTTTAGATAACGTCCAATATTAATATTTCTGATGGAAAAATAACATTTCAAGTAGAGCTCTACTGGAAATGTTAAAAAAATATTAATATTTCCGGTAGCATCTTTTCTTAGCCTTAGGTTGCCTTTCCTTAAACATCCCTGACAAATTTGACGATTAACATGCTTACAGATATGATTCGAAGTCACCCAATTGATGAAAAATTATTCAATGATTTGTTGGAAAAGTTTAATAATTTTAAAGCAATAAGAAATTGATCCAAACGTTGTTGAGGAAAATTTGAAATCAATTGTTGGTTTGTACATGTGCATACGTGCACGATTTGGGTAACGTGAATGTCTGAATCGATTATGCTCTTTGTGAGCTTGCGGATATTTTAACCCAAAAGTGAAATATTTTTTCCTCAAATAGAATATATATTTTCAAAATTTGTTTTGGAATTAAAAGGATAAATATTGAAATGATTTTTAAATCAAAATAGTAATTTTGAAAATTGCTTGATTGTTTCATTCTCATCAATGCTTTATTAGGTCAAAAATTTCCAGTTGTTCACAATATGAAATGCCTATAAATACCATATAAACCTACTAGGTTAAACATAAATCAAACAACTAAAAAACTATTCAAAAAAATTATCTCTAGTTTTTTTCAGTGATAGGCGAAGGGAAAGAATAGTTCGTGATCTCGACAGTTGTGCTACTGTGCGTTGATCATCTCGTTGTTGTATCCTGGTAGACAAATGACCAAATATATCGAGCACCAAAGAGTAGTAAAAAATATGTCTTAAAGAAACCGTGTAGTTGTAGGTCTCAACTTGTTTCCAATCGGTTGTTCTGTAAAAACTATACTTTACGACCAAATCTTATCGTGAAATTAATTGTTATTTGCCGCGATTTGTATGAATCTTTTATTTAAAAAAGATTGTATTTTTATTGTCTCAGATTATTATATTTCTAACATGGTCTACCGACAAAAATGACCAAATTAATCTCCCGTAAGACTAATGCTTTCAACCTCTAGTTTTTCATTGTTTTATCTTAACTCAACCCCCCCCCCCCCCCACACACACACAAGATGATACAAGTATAAATAATTCATAGTTTTTCGATTAATTTTAGTCTAAACAAATTAAGGGGAAGCCACCAAATTTCATTAAAAAATTAGGGTAAATTATTTAATACCCTATTTATTCTCACATTTCTATTTGATGTAATGTTAAAAAATACTCTAATATTTAATTGAATAGTAACTTGCGACCTACTACTAGATACAATTCCGAACTATACTATATAATATAATTAAACAAACAATGTAAACTTATATAACTTAATGAAGTCGTATTAACCACGAGTATTATTGGACGAATACTTCTCTATAATCAGGCTTTAGCCATAGCAATGTGAACAACAAACAAATGCATACTTGCATGGCAATGTTAATTACAATAAAACTAATATTAGTCTGATAATAATCTTTTTGATATGCGAATACAAGAATCTCATACGACACTGACAGTAAATGCAATAGCACATTAATATGGTCAATTCTCCAACAGTCGATCACCATTGCGCCTCCATGTGGAGGTTCGATTATAAATATATAGGATCTAGAGATTTATATATATTCATTAGTATATAAATGCATTAATATTGTGTTCAAATTTTAATTCAGTATATTTTAATTATTCTCATTTAAAAGTTAAATGAAACTAGCGTTTTTTTTTCTCCTCATTTTTCTTCTCTTTTTTCTTCTTCTTTACAATATGTGTTAATTTTATTGATCAATCCAATTTTTTTTCTTTAATTTTGTTTAACTGTCGGCGGCACCGGTTTTAATGTTGGTT